TTACTTTCCTATTTTCTGAAGTCGAGGTAAAAAGAAAGGTATAATACCGGTACTATAACTTAACCTGTCGAACTGAAAATAAAATATAAGTAAAATATAACTAACAGTAGATTTTTGTACATGGGTTTGAAAAAAAAAGTATTATAAACTCTTCTGCATTACACCTGCATACAAATTACAAACCCGCCTGCAAGTGATCCAAGTACAAGCGAAATCTTAGTGAAATCCGTGTTTAACATTGCTCTCGTAGGCAGCAGCACGTACGGACCTCAGTACCGTTGCTTCCTGTCCTCGAGACTAGATTGCACTAGTACGAGTACACAACAATTCAGTGGAAAATTAGTGAATAATTATGCACTTACGATCTTCTGTAAATGTTAACTCTCAAAAGTACACACGTTTCGTATTCCATTAATAGTGTTCTTCAGCATGTCAATAAAATTTATAAAATCGTAAACGACGCGACATTGAAGTCCTGCGATTCGTGCGCACTCAGCCGGTAATATTGAGAACAAAGTGTAACAGTCTTTCAAGGAGATCTGGACGTCAGTGGACTCTTTTATCATGGCTGAGAGTTGTAAACAATAATATTTAGACGAATGTCATTTGCTATTGTTGATTTATCATTTTAAATTTTTTGTGTGTGGTTAAAAAATATTTATGGTTAAAAGAAAGGCAAGCTTCGAACTACTAACTTGAGACAACTGTCACAAGTTGATAACATGGCTGAGAGGTAAATAAGAGAATAAATTGAAGTATATTAATCTTCTGGGACAACTTGCATGTCAGACACCTATAAAAGTTTATGTTACACAATCTTCTTCACTTACAATGTCATAGAGAGTGACTCTTGACAAGTGGCAATTACTCAACTGATAAGGGGTTGTTATGAGTTATTTCTGTTTTGTGACACACTTATGTAACAAAATCTAAAACAACAGTATTTAATAATTACATATAAACTCCTAGCCATCTTTTACTGTAACCTCCCATTTTCAGGGGAAGCTGGTGGGATTCTTGGTACAAAGCTGCTAAAGACAAGGTATGTATTCCAAACATATTTTGTGCATTTATTCCAGTTTTTTTTAAATTATTTTTTATTACAACAAAATTGATTTTGTACTCAATGAATTAATTATTCATATACATTTTACAGTATAATTTCATAACATTCAGAATCATATATACATATGGACTGACAGATGCTATGTGTTATTATGTATTGCTTTTCTTACTGCTTCTTAAATTCTGTTTAATTTTTCTTTTGCTTTGATTTTATTTTCATGTAGTCAGTAGAAGTTTTGGAATTTGTTAAAAGAGATTTGGATGAATTTTCAACCGCCGTTAAGAGTGAAGCTAGTAATGTTGTCACTACAACAACCAGTGCATTGAAAGATAAATTGAAGGTAAGCTTTGGTTTACTCCGTGCATACAAGAATTGTAATATTGTTTATAAAATTAGCAATGATGCACAATACATTGCTGGTGCAGATGTAAATATAAGTTACTTATTGCTTGATTTTAGTTGTTATGATATCTAATTCCTGTGTGTTTCATTTTATTCTGAAAATGATAGCTGGATGAACCTGAATCTACAGCTAACTCTGTTAAACGAAGTGTGTCCTCATTCCTTGGACAAGTTAGTAATGCATTAAGCCCTCCTCCACAAGATGAAGATGAAGAAGCGATTATGATATTTAATTCTCAACCCGTGCCATTAACTCCATTTCAGGTGCTTTTTTACATAACTATATAACCAAAATGAAGACATAACCTCACTGCATCTCAAAGTTCTACATTTGTATTGTTCTTTTTCAGAAAAAACTTCATGCCCTCATTATTGATCCTGACACCTTCCTTGTAGCACCTAGTGAAGCTGATTTACCACAATACAAAGCCTGGCTGGAAGTTACTCAAGAAGTTCTGAACAATGAACAGCGTCTTGCGCGAATGTTGGCAGCAAATCCTGATTTACATTGTCAGTACACAAGATTGGTGCCCGAAAAGGTACATTTAATTGGGGGGGGAAAATTCTGCTACATAAGTATTGGATTTTCATCATGTAAATTTTAAAATATAAATTTTGGATCATGATAATTCTTAGTATAATTTGGTCCTAACCTTTTAAAATAGATAAGGTCTCAAACTACGGTGCTTTACAATTCATATAATGTTCACCCTTGACATATTTTTGATAACAAATTTTATACATTTTTAAAATGTGCTTAACATATGAAACTCAGAAAAATTAAATAGGATAATATTTGTTGCTTGACGGTTTTTGAAGATGATATATCTGAGGTACATATTACTTGCACTAGTTTTTTTGATACACAAGCTCGCTAGTCCTCACCCAGTGCTGAATAGCATGGCACATTGATACTTAAGTTCGACTTGGAATGGCGCGTACAATGCTGGCAACAACCATCTCATACTTTTAAAACAATTGTAGCATTTCATGTGGCCCGCTTTGGCAAGTTAATACTTATGATGCATATGATTGAAAATTTACCTGTGATAGTTCTGCTCGGCTGATCTTAGCTCATGTCATTTGCAAGATACTGGCTTTCTAAAGTTTTATTTGAGTGAAACTCCTATTCTGCATATATAATTTTGTCATTTCTTTGTAGTCTTATCATATTTTCTTGGAAACTCAATTTCCAAATTCTTGTTAAAAAGTTTTTATCAAAAACTTTTTGTCAAAAAGTTGAAATATTTCCAGCACTTTTGTAGAAATATCGAATTCATATGTTGTAAGTGATGTAAATTGTAAATTGATTTATCTTTTTTTCTCGTGTGGGTTAAAAGAGGATATCTTAAACTATTTTTTTGTGTTTCGGATACTATTCAATTTGGTTGGTGGAGTTGTTTGACTCATTCTACTCCTTCAATTAACCTCTATTTTACTTATCGCCACTCCTCCTTCACTTTCTGCCGAACCAATGTGCCTGAGCTTCATTTCAGATAACTTAAGATGACAATTCCAATTGATATTTCCCTGCTTATTTTGTATTTTTTGAGATAGAGAATAGTCACTTAATACATTTTGTATGTTTTGTAAAGAGATATGAAAGAGGAAAGCATTCTTCAAATAAACAGATTAAGATTGAATGTGATTACATAAAACTTCAGGTTATAATTTTTATGTGTGAGAATCTATCCAATCATAATATTTTCCAGGTTTTAAAAAAGTTCCGTTTATTTGGAATATTATAAGTAGTAGTAGTAGTTATAGTATTTCAATAAAAAAAAAAGTGTATTATAGTAGTTGATTTCATTTTTTTATTCTTATAATTCTTTCAAAAACAAAATGCTAAAATTTTAAATTAATGTAGTAATTTTACTGACACCTACTTTTATGAGAGTTTGATACAAATTTCAAAAGAATGTCACTTAATTTTTAAAATAAAATATTTTTGGAGTTGTATGTAAATTGTGTAACACAAAAAATGGATGTGAAGCAGATGTTGCACGATACATAGAACTAACGGGTGTTGGTGTAGCACTGGCAGGCTGGATATTTAATATTAATAATATTCATCTAATTCATGACTATAGATATAAGTCAGTTGGTTGTAATGATTACTTTGGGTCCTAAGGAGAAGATCTAGATATTATTTGTGCCTCTTCAATACTTTGCATAAAATGTGGGCTGTTCCCATTAGAGCAATGTCATGCACTTCCTAGTTTTGAATGGCCTGGGAGTTTAGCCAAGAGTTCTTACACGAATTTTGCGTAATAAACCCCAGAGCTCTAACTATCGGGACAACCTGTGTGCTTTGACGCCCGACTTTCAGCAGACTTCCATTTCTAAACTCTTGTATTGAAGTCGTTTCTCTGCCTCCTGGGTTATGACAATTTTGATTGCATGGCCCAGCAACATCTACAGTGGACACGATTTTTTCTCCAAATCCCAGATAACAATCTCAGGTTTGTTTGCCACTAACATGCGATCAGTTTAAATTTGTTGGTCATACAGTATTATCATTAGTAGTATTATTGTTGCACAGAGGGGGGAGGTGAATCCAGAATCGTCCAAATTTATGTTACTTCATTATTTTTTGGACAACCCTTTAGGCTAAAATAGTGGTAAGGCAATAAAAATCTAAACATCAATTTATTATAGTAATAATGACCATGCTCAATATTTTGACCAGGTTTCTGCATCTCAGTTTTGGGAGCATTACCTATTTAAAAAGGCCTTGCTTGAAGATGATGAAGCTCGAAGAGAAGCAATGGAGAGGCGAGCAGAAAGAGAACGACAAGCAGCTGAAAATTTCTGCTGGGAACAAGGTAAAAGTCTAACAGAATAGGTATTTGCAGAAACAAAGAAAAATTATTTTTAAAATATTTGCTCTAAATTGTTAACCCATTTCTTTTTCAGAAGACTTCGGGACCCACATTGAGTTGTCTGAAGAAGAACAAACCAGGTTATTACAAGAGTATGAAAAAGAATGTGAAAATAAAAAGTTGCGGCGGAACACTTCCCAAGAAGAGAATTTAGTTGTAGAAGACAACCATTATTCAGAAAATGTAAATGAAACTCCAGTAGACACTCCAGTAAAAAAAAGTTCCTCAGTTATTCAAAAGGATAAAGAACAATCAGAAGATACAGATGACCTAAGTGTTGGCGAAAGGAAAGACTTAGTTATTGTTTCTCCTGATGGAAATAGCTGTCACACAACTTCATCATGCTCTGGTGATAAAGGTAAAAGCTTTTCTTGATTTTTTGTGATTAAGTTTTGTGTGACAAAATATTTTTTTCTCATTTATGTCACTTTTTTTCCTCACAAACTTGGTTTATTTAGTCTTCAAGTTTTGTTAAAAATATTATGCATGTGGTTTTTGTTTATTTTAGGGTATTTTCTTTTACTTACATGATGTATAATCAAAAAATATTTTTTGTTAACATTGAGATGTTAAGATTATTCATTCCAATTTTGTAATTTTTGTTATTCATGCTGATGTTATGAAGAAAAAAAAAATAATTTTTCTTTGATTGTATAAAAATGAGTGATTTTGTGTACTGTTTAAGTGTGCATGAAGTTAATCTTTTATGAAAACAGTAAATACATGATAACACAGTGCAAAAACGAAGTTTCTTGCAAGGTGAATGGTGAATGCACTGTGAAAAGCATATTCTTTTGCATGGTCACATTCCAGTGCAAAATACTTTTTGCATGCCCTCACTCCTTGTTCCCACCACCCATTCTCACCACCATTCATTCTTACTGTCTGTCCATGATTTTGTGTTATATAATCATTCATGAAGATAGTGTTTTACTTGTATGAAACAAATTTAGCAAACACAATAATGATTCATAATAAGAGCATTTTTATATGATCATAGAAAAATGTCTATATTTTATTATTGTTATATATATTTGTGTGTGTTTTGTTTTGTTTTCTTTTTTTCCTTGATCTACTGGTCTTGGCCAAAAAACATCAATTTCAATTGTGCAAAAAACACTTACTTCATATGGTTGATACACATATTAACTAAATTCAAAAACAGTGTTCTGATATAAATTGCATTGAAGTTAAGTGTTAAATTGATCTACTAAATATATTTTGTTAGATAAGATACAATTTTAATAATGGCAATTTTACTTCAGTTGTCTGTATTTAATATTAATTATGAAGATGTGGTACACACAATATCATAGTTGCAAATTATCGTCAAAACAAGCAACTAGTTGTAATCATACCTCTTTACAGAGCAAAATGCTTGACATGTTAGTCATGTCCCATTCTCATTTTTGTTCATGATTGTTTAACAATCTTCAGTAAGTGGTGCAAGTGATTTGCTGATGGAAAAACTTGGAGTAATAACATTTGTATCTAGTGCTGTTTAGAATAAGGGTAATGAGGTGAAAATGCTTTTGCCCTTGAGAAAAATATCATTATATGCTCAGAGTGTCTGCTTTAAACATATTATGTCAGTGGTTGCTAAATTGTATTTAGATTTGTAAATCTGAATCATATTGCAACTTATCTTTGTTTTGAAATAACAAATGTAAGAATTTTAAATAAAAATTGTAATGGTTGAATCGTAAAAATCAATTCTCATGACATCAGAGTCAAATTGTTAAATTGAGAGATAAGACACTAATTCTCAATAAAGAAGGATGTAAACACACTCAAAGTTAAAAGAGTATAAGTAAAGATGGACATCCTAAGGACGCTTTAATAGACAAGTGAATAGAGTACTGCACATAATTAGATGTGTGCTAGAATACCCTGGTTTAATTTTAAGAATCCTTTAATATAGCAATTTGATTTAAATTGAAGTGAAGAAAAAACTGTACCAATATTTTTCTTCAATAAACATTATAATGTTTATAAAGAAATCTTTTATGGCAATACCAGCAAGAGCTTGTAACCTTTTTTATTAGTGAAAGCTTTACATGGCTTTACAAGCACTATTCACAAACAAACTTCCTGCTATGAACCTGCATAATAATCTAAATATTTTGCCAATGCATTTAATTGTTAATTTTGTTTTCAGGTAAGTTATATTCTGATCTTTTTCTGGGTTTCTTTGACATTTTGAAGAGTTTGGGATGCACACCCAATTCTTTTCCATTCTTTCTTCTTGCTTCTATTTTCTCTTTTTGTAGTAATAGATGCTGTTGATATTCTCATTACCTTCTTACTTTCACTTGAATCACTACATTTTTTATTTTACATTAATTTTTTTCAATAAGCCAATTTCCCCCTTTTGATGTATTTTTCCTTGCCCAGATTTCAATTTCAGTGCAATGATTCATTGGGTCCAAATGTTTCTGGAGAGTTTCCTGAGATGAAATGAGTAGCACATGAACAGGATTCAGGTTGTGTGAAGTCATAACAGCAATTGCCGATTCTGTAATGAATATATTTAATTTGAAGTAATGACATCTTGTAATAGAATAGTATTATACAACTAGTTTATAAGATTAAGCTTCATTGCACGAGTACATGTTTTGAAAACGAGTGATGTTAGGTGTGAGTTTTCAAATTTGTATGAATGCAATAAAGCAGAATTATAAAAGAGTTGCATTTTCTCAATGCAAAATTTAGATGAGAAAAGAGAATCAAAGTTAATTTTTGGAAAGAACTTTATTGTGATGGCAAGAGTATTTGACATCTGTGTGGAAAAACTGGTCAACTGTTCAGTTTACCGCTCCTTGATTCTCTTGCTGCCATTCATGCCATAAACAGCAAATATGTCAAAATCTGCCATAAGATGTCATTTTATGAATGATTTCTTGATTCTTCTTTATTTACCATTTTGAAATGTAAAATAAAATTAAAATATGGTATATTAAATCTGTATTCATGAATTTATTATTCTAATCATAATTTGTGTAATTGCAAATACTATATTTTATAAGAAAACTTGATTGGACTACTTGCTTCAATATTTCAAAATTACCAGTGGGTACAATTGTTTGGTCATGCTAAAGACCCCTAAAGTATTAGTTCAGCTGTAGTTGTGTTATTTATGCTTTTGAAGTAATTTCAAGGGCTCTTTAGTATTATGATCGATATGCTCAGGAAAACACTAAATAACAGATATTACTTTTTGTTTGTTTGTTTTTTCATTTCAGAAAGCAATGATGGAGACTGGGAAAGAGAATTTGACCTTGATGATCCAGAATTGGAAAATCAAGCAGTTGTCACATCTGAGCAGGGCAAGGTGTAGAGACACAGTATCTTTGTAAGGATTTTTTTTTCCCTACACAGTAAAATATTTTTATCTTTATTATTTGCACAAATTTTAATGTCCCTCAAGTATGAGATGTTTCTATCATGTTTACTTGGTGTGCTCACACTGATTTTGTTTTCGTGTTTTCTATTCAGTCCTATAAGATATGTATCATGAAAGTTAAGTTAGCTAGAAATTACTGTGTGGGGTAAATGAACTTTTTATTGCCTTTGAACAAACAAAACAAAAGAAAAAAAAATGGACTGATATGGAAACTTGACACACTTGCCTTTCTTACCTTATAGCAAAGGTGAATTGTCACATTTACTACTAGAGAAACTGGTTTGCATGTATGTAAATTTTAAATGACAGTCTGCTGTTAGGCAACTTTTAATTTTTTATTTTTTGATGAAAGAATGAATGATATGAGTGCCAATATTTCTGGCAAATGTGCTGATGTCAGTTTCCATATCAGCCTTGTTTGTTGCCTACAAGATGTTTAACACATTGTAACAAAAATGTAAAATATCTGTCAGTTGTTTGATGTAATAGAGTTTTCTTAAATTTGTTGTTGTTATTTATGTAATTTTTATTTTTTGGAAGAAATGTGAAATGGGGTAAATCCTAACCTAGTGCCAATATTAGCAAGGGATTGCTATCTTTGCAATTAATTAGTATATGAATCTCCAGTGAACAGATAACCTGTTCCCACTGCATTGTTTAAAGGAGTATCCTAATAAATGTTGGGGAATATTGTTGTATTAGGTATTACAAAAATATTTTCATTCTGCTTTTTAGGCAGTTTGCTTGCATGGCAGTCCTGCTTGAAGAAATTGAAGTACAGAGCAGATTTTTTCTTAGAAAATAGTGTTGTATTATCAATTCTGTTTCTGGGATTATAAATAATATTTTTGTTTCAGTCCCTTGCCTGTTTTTCCTGCACACTGAACACTACACCAAAACATACTTGACTTCAAGTGCTTGATAACACACACTATTCTAAAACATATAGAATTGTTTCATGCCAGAACCCACAAGAAAGAGATCACAATATCATGTGAAAAAGAGATTATCTTGGCAAGATGTTTATTTGTTTTGTTTAAATTATTCGTGCAATGTTATGTACTTCAGTTTCATTCAGATGGGCCACATTCTTCCAAAATTGTTGTGTAGTTGCTCTCATGCAGAATTATAATTACATTACACAAGTGTACTGTAGTTCTGCGATTTGAGTTTGCTATTTCATATAATCATCTTAAGATTTGAGTCATGAGATGAATGTAGATAGTGTGATTGTTTTGTAAATTCTTCCTCTCTTCTAAATTTATCAAATCTATTTCTCAATTTCATCTTCTGCAATTTTATGCATGGTTATGGTACTATGTGGCTTTTCAGTGGTTTATTATATATACATAACATAACTTGTACAAATTGAAGATTTCGTGAGATAATGTGCAAGACTTTTGAGAAAATGATGTTTTGCTTGCAAAAATTTACACAATGTTTTGCTATTGGTAGAATGATTGCATCCTACCTTTAAATGTGGAAAATCTCTTTCTCATGTTTTGCTTTATCTTGGTGACCAGTTAAAAATTTAAATAAGCTGAGAAAATTTGTTATGCTGCTCATAATTAATATATTTCTGTAACATTCCATTGTCTGGATTGCAAAAAATCTATCTTTCTGTTATTTAAGTTTCTTGTATATAAAGCCTGGGGAAAGATTTATAGTAGAAATAGGCAGTAATTTTGATATGCAGTATATACAGATTATAATATTGGCATAGGTAATACTTATGACTTACATTGCTCATTGTAAATATAACAATTTCTTGGGAGTATATTGCAGAAATATTTGTCTCCCAAATAAATAAAAAAGTAGGCACTTCTAGTCTTGCATAAGCAAAATAATAACATGATATGCTCAGAGCAAGTCTGTTATATATACATACGATATTTGTATACTGGTTGATCAGTAAATAAAAGTGGTATGAGTTTATTAAAAAATCTTGTTTTAATTTTATCACCTCCCAAACAAAAAATATATACATAAAATTGACTTAACAGATAAAAGGGGACACTAGATAACAAGATTTTGTATAATTTTTCCATTAAACATGTAATAAGAGGTAAAAAGTGGCAGAGAAAAAAAAAATCCATACACCTAAATATAATTATAGAAGAGAAAACACTGTTATCAGTAAGTTTTGAAAACATTTCCCGTTGCATTTGCACTCTAGTTAGACACTCAGAATGCTCGAATTGAAAGGTTGTATTACAATGGAAATATGAACTACTGTACAGTGAACTCCATTCATATCAATACAAATATCAGTGTTACTGACCATCCAACATTATTTGAGAAATAAAGTTATTCTGAATGCTTGTTAATCATATTTTAAGAGTAACTTGTTCTCAGTGTCAGGTATGATTCTAGTATTCACATTATCCTGTCAATATTTTTACCCAAACAAAACTGATAACCACAAACAAAAATAATTCCCGGTAATGTAATTTCACACAGAAGAAAGAAAATTTCTCGTAAATTTGTCATTCTCTTTGACTTTTTGTGACTGACTGTTTTTGAGTCTCAAATTCATACAATATAGTGTGATTTTGAATCACTGATCTTGCCCTTCTTAATAGATCTTTGACAAAATAATTTGTTGAATCAATTTGCTTTTGTTATAATTGTTTCTCATTTACTTAGTCTAATATTTTCTTTGATGTGCCAATGTACGAAAGATGATAATGTTTGCTTTTTAAATTGAGTGCTTAACACTACTATTGTGCATGTTAAGTCAATATGTAAAATGTTCTAGAAATTTAAACATTGTGTAATAAAACAATTATGTTTTACAAACTTCATGACAATCATTATTCAATCAGTAATAATGGAGCAATTTTTAAAGCATAACAATATTTACTTTGTGGTATTCTGATGGTAACACAGGCCAGTGTCTCAAAGCTCTCAAATTTAATTCTAGTAAATAATTATTTTATTCATTTTGCTGTTATCTTCAATACTGTAAAGAGTGGAGAAAAACTGTTAGTGAATTTTTTTAATATGAATTAAAATATTGAAAATACCTTATTTACCCAAACACAAGACAATTTGTTTCACTCTAAAATTAGGGGATCACTTTTCATTAGCAAATTAAGCATGGACACTTTTGGGTCTGTCTTAACACAGACTCAGTGTCACGATAAGAAACTCGAATGTGCTGGCATAACATAAAAATAGGCTGCAAAAGTCAGAACTACCACACTTATCTATACCTAATTATATACCCAGATGTATCCAGACAATAATGTGTTTGTAGGCTTCTGCAGCCAGAGTCATTGGATTCTTGGGTGTCCGGGGTGAAACACAGCTCACCATGAGAGCCAAGTATCCACACACCAACAATTTTGAATTGACTGATAACACGATAAAATCAAACAAATGACACTTAGGTAAAACACAACCTGTAAATTGAGCATTGCCAATATTTTATATCATGATGTTCAGCAAGGCCACATGGACTTGCGGATGCCCATCCAGTGTGAACCAATGTTTTGCAAGAATTGGAAAAGAAAAATAAATCACGCTGATAGCATTACATATTCTAAATTCAATCCCAGAGACAAATTAATAAAAATCCTAGAAAAAAGTTCCTGAGGCTCAGTGACATTGTTCTCCTGTGTTAATCGCGGAATGGAGACAGGATTACCAGTTTACAACCATATCACACAAATTTAAAGTTAATTGTTGTTATAGAAACAGGGGTCACAAAAAAGTGTGCCTCAAGAAGAAAATCAAGCTATAGATAAGGGAATATTCTTCGGTGGAGAGATGAAAGGCTATGAACACAAATTCAAAAGGCAAAACATTCAGGATTGAGGAGGGGGGGGCTAAAAAGGCAGAGGAAAACCTAGTGTGAGAAGAGGACCAGAAACAACTATACAATGATGCATGCAAAGATGAAGATGGAAGTGACAGACGTGCAAGATGGAATAATGGTTGTTTTGAAAAGAAAGAAAATATTAATAGCTCTGGGAAACAAATTGTTTCTAGCCAATTAGACAATTTGTGATTTTTATTTAGTCCAAATAGAAAGAATAAGTTAAAAATCTCAGAAGGTCTCCTCAAAATCAAGGTGTCTTCTAATATTCAGTGTAGTAGTTCAGTAAATAAAGTGACATACAAGATAATATTCATTACAATTATATTTTAGAATAGTGAGAATTTGTTTTGAAAGATGATGTCAGATCATTCTCAAAATATTTTTTTATTTTCATGTTAACCTATTGCATTGACCCATTTTACTATCTGATGTAACTGATTAAACCAGCAGTTCATACGCCTCTTTCTGTAGCATCAGTGCGCACAGCTGGTCTCGCAGGCTGCTTGCAGTTCTCTTCATTCAATATCCCCTTATAATTTCGATCAAGAGAGTGTACCAGAAAAAAGATGGTTATATTTTCAATAATGAGATGTATTTTTAAATAATAGATTACAGTATTTAGTGATTGTATGCAAATGAAGAAAACTAAAAAAATATGGGCGAAATATTCTTTTTATTGCATTTCATATATTTTCCATATCTGACAACTTTCCTTAATTGCATGCTTTACAAACTGTTAGTTAATACATCAAACAAATAAACTTTTTGCATATTTGGCATAAATATTATTTTTTATATTTATATATTTTTTAAGCCATGCAACTTACTGAACGAAGATCGTTGCACGATTGCAAGCAGGTGGTCTCTGAGGCCTGTGCAATGTTTTGGATTGTCTCACCACTAGAAAGAATGAAAATACTCACTTTCTCGAAAGTTATATCTAAAGGAAAAGGTACCTGGAGGCAGCAGTCAGGGGCGACCAAATTGCATTCACATTATTAGAGTAAAGACTTCCCGGGTCTCTCAGAGCACCTGTGTGCACTGCTGACTTAACATTAATCAGCATTTTAACACAGGATTAAATACTGTAGAATATATATCATACATTGATGGTTATACACACAAGCAAAATATAATTATTCACAAAATTTAAATACTCACTCAGGGTGGATTTATATGAACATAAAACAGTCAAAATATGCATGCAATTATACACCGAAAATCATTGAAATATGCACCAAAAAACTGACAATATGCCCAAGGAATGAGGATGCATTGTCAATAAATTACTTAAAATATACCTATTTAAATGATTTTTATTCACTCAAAGTACATTTTGAGACTATATACAGTCTATTGTTTTTCAATGTTTTCTAATTACATAGTTTTCTTTTGTCTGTTAGACAGTTTTTGTAACTAGAAAACATACATACGTTCCAGTTGACAAGAAGTCAAGGGGCATAATTTACGTGAAGTCATTTCAGTAGGAGATTAACCATGCTTTTCCTCGTCACATATTTCAGTTAGTACTTCACTTACATCAAGAATAAATTTAATGCTGCGATTTCTGGCTTCTACTATTTCAATCTTTGTTGGTACAGTTTGTCCAATGACTCGTGGAATACTCTAAATGAATCATACAGTTTGAAAGCTACTGAAAGACACAATCCCCTTTCTTCCAACTTGGTGGATTGTAGGGGGGTAAATTTTCAAAATGAACTTTGAAAATGAATGCCAACTTTCTCTGGAGACCATTGACGATGCAAGCTTTTATAGCAGTCATTATACTTGCAGCTTCTCCTTTGTCCAGCGTATACAGTACTTTTTTCAGGTCCTGCAAAAAGTCACAGTAGAACGACGCAGCTTCAATCTATGTTCCCCAGCGAGTATGAATACTGGTGGTAAGCGCTGACCTGGAAGTAACTGCATGTACTGACACATGATGGAGCCTTCATAAACATCATCCGCACTGAGTAAATCACTGCATTTACTTCCAGAAACTGATGGCATACCACCCCTGTTACTCTGTGCAATCCATGAGCCAGACATGTAGCTTGATCCAATTTCGGATAGAATACTCTCAGAGAATTTTCTATCATCTTGTATTCCTATTGTATCCTATTGTATTCTTTCTCTTTCTCAATAATAAGAATATGTAAGAACTAATTTTATGCTTAAATGTATTCATAAGTTAATATAAATCATACTTTCAAAGTTATTGTCTTGTTTCTCTTCCTAGAAAATAAGTCTTTGGGGGGGGGAATTCAAATCTTGACAAGGGCGCTCATGACCCTAGCTACAACTTTGTTCATTAGAGATGTATCGGTAAGACACAGGTTAATCAAAGTTTAAAAAGAATACCTAATTGTGATGTTTAGTTGATCTTTGCTCTATATTAACAAGACGTGAGAGAACAATTAGAACATATTTAGCTTTTGTATATTTTGTAAACCCTCTGATGATGTTTGAAGAAGTCAAGTGTGCTTGCTGCTTGAAAAGAAGAGGTAATCTTCGAAACTTAAAAGGTGATTATGCAATACACCGTACAATCATTAATGTTGGAATGAATATGTGATGAAATGTGGTGAATAAATGATTTTGCTTCAAACAATTCATAAGTGATGCATGCCAATGTTAAGATTTTCTATATCGATTACTTTCTTTAATTGTCATATTTAAACAAGGTCATGCACTTTCCATACTGATTTCTTGTGCATTATGAGCTGAAGCTACTCAATACAGAATTGAGCTTTTTTCTTTCCTTTTATTTCATAGAATTCATAATATTTTGCAAGGAATGGGACTAACAGAATAATTAAACAAACTCAAAAGCCCACAATAAGTAAGATACCAAGATCTGAAATCACAAAACAGGCTTGACATGAAATTTTGAAAATTATTGGCAAATAATATGATGGCAGAAATGATGAAACTGGTAAATGAAATAAATTGGAATTGCATAATCTATCAAAAAAATGAAAGCACCAGTTAACCATTAGGGATAATTAATAAAACTGAATACCAAAATTAGGAAAGCCCAAACCTAAAGGTGCAAGAATGGTTGCAAGACCTCGGGTAACAAATAGATTGATGAGTGACAAAGAATGAAGAGAGATTAGATGTACATCAAGGACTACAAATGACATTGCTAATGTATAAGAATGGCTAACAATTTTAAATTGAATCATACTTTCTCACATAAATAACAAAGTATCTTTAACCCTTTGCATCTTTTGAGAATTTCAGTCTTCAATAATTGAAATCTGAAATTCTCAAATCTACAATTACTGTAGGTCTATGTATTGAAAAAATTGTTGAGTCTGATAAAAATACAATGATTTGCAGCTTTTACAGTATTAATTGCATCTCCTAATGATGTAGAAAACTGTATAATATAAATGCATTTCATATGAAATTGCATTATTAAAAAGGTCAACAAGTATTGAAGCTAGGATTCTAAATCCATAGAAAAATAAATAAACATAAGATGATAAAAATGATTCTAAGTGATCTATCTGCACCTAAATAATTTTATTTTATCTTAAAAATATTTAATGTTAAATATTTTTCATTTAACTTTGTAAATATTTCGTTAAATATTTTCTTTTAAAATGTTCACAATGTACCAAAAAAGTATTAATGACAGACATAAGTAACTAAATGGATTTTGAAGAATCCTGAAATCACTCCTATTGTTAGAAAAATATGGAAGTTTTTGTCACAGTAATTTTGCTGATAGATAATACAGTTTTTTTTTAGCTTACCATCAATCAAGGCCACCAGTCAGTTCTGCATGGGAGCGAAAATGTCTAGTTTTTTCAAATGCCTCTTATCTCGAGCTTTTTATAATTTATTCTTATTTTTTTAATTTTACTTTTCTGAACTTTCATTCATATTTAAATTATCTATAATTATTAAAATGTTAGGATGAGATTCTCAAAAAGAAAAAGAAAAAAAAACACGTTGGTACGTCTGCCCCTTACGTCACACACAGTTAAATAAATAAAAATGTTCTTTGGCAAAATCAAATCAAATCATATTTCTATTCTCTATCTTTCGTTTACGAATATGAATATTCAAAGTTTGGAAGGTTAGATTAGGCTATTGCAATGCATGCGAGTTCTGCTGGCTTGCATACACGGCCCCTGATAGGTTGTTGCGTTCTATCCGATGGAAAATATTGAACTAAAGAATCTAAGCTAACGGAAATGAATCACACAAGTTATTAGTGAATGAAAGAATAATATAGATTATTTTTTGTGACAATCCAATTTTATCAGTAAAAATTAAAACTGGTTGAGCGGTATTTTCTTAGCATTGCCAGAAAATGGCAAGGAACTGATTCAGAAACCTTTTCGTGCGTGTGAAGGTGGAGGGAGCAATTTCAGTTTGGACATCTCTCTTATACGTTCGTTTTTCAAATACACTTTTTAAAAGTAAATTTCTTCTTGTAATGCCATCATTTTGGACTTACTGAGAACACTTCTTTGGAATGTGAAGCGATCAATTTGGGGTTCTACTAATTGTGTTGGTTAAACTGGGTGAAATTACAAAAGAAGTTAGAATGGGGAAAAACGATCACCCATTATCACTCCCCCCGGATCCGCCACTGTTGAATGAAGAAAACAACATAGCATACATTTGACTTAATAACGTAGTAGTCGAATTTCTGAATCGGATGTCTCCTAAGACGGCGAAAGCTGTTCATGAAATGAAAAGTAATGTTGATAAGACAATACATTTTATTCAAACTTCTGGAATGACAACAACACTTCACCAATAAACCAAAATATCGATAAGCTAGCCAATACTTGAAAGAACCTTTACCAGTAGGTTCACCGTGTGTGCGCAAGCGTCGTTGCTTGACGAATACCCGAAAAGAAAGAAAATGGGAAAGAATAATATTCTCCCTCTGGAACAAAAGCTTTATTTTCTAAAGAATTCCGCGGGTCAACACTTTACCGCAATGTGTTTTAAGCAAAACAACTTGAAGGTTGATCTATGGAAACCGAGATTCAAGAGATGTATTGTGATTGGGCACGCAATATTTTCAGAAAAGGATTCTGAGAGTGATTTGAAGGAGACATATTCTCTTCACAAAAATTTCCCAAATTAAAATCACGTTCGCTTACAGCAACACACCATTCTATCCACTAATGTTCCGAGTAGACAGTAATATCCCGAATGAATTGTAACAGCAAAATCCAATCAACACGGAGCGATGTACTTCTCCTCCAAACAACACATTTTTATCTGCTTTTTGGTCTTAAAATAAATGTAGTTGATTGCGTTCTAAGAAAACAGTCACATCAGATCCTAGGAGGCATGGAAACAATACTCCCGTTCCAAAAGTCAACTTTTTTAACTTCATTTATTCAAAACAATAGCCATATATTAATCGTATGCCATCAAAAGTACTTTTCACGTTTTAAATTTCTTTTTTAATTTAAAGTTAAAATTTTGTTTATTATATCATAAATATTTATGATCTGAGGGAGGGGGGGAGTTCCAAACTGCTCCTCTCCTGAAAATGGTCTAGTCTCTGAAACTCATTTGGTACTCTTTTTCTGGAATTCTAAGGAAAATTAAAATTATTAAATACGCACATCTCACCTAATACATTTGATGATATTGTTGATATATAAATCTTTTGGTATATTACTAATTACAAAACATTACATAACAGAAGGACTCAATATCCGCATTTTTTCACACGTGTTAATGACAACGATCTTATGCAAAGAAATATATACGTAACCTGCCATTAATTTATCTACATATTTTTCTGAAGTTTATTAAATATTATCAATTTTTCATTATGTTAATTCATCAAATAACGTCAATTGCTGCCCAAGTTCTTTAATAGTTAACAAATAATTTTCCTTACACTCAAAGCCATTGAAGAAGAGATCTGTTTTAAAGGTTAGCATCACCACGAAGAGAAAGGCAAGAGGATCAGGAGACTTTTAGAAGCCGAGGTGCAGGTCAGGTAATCGAATAACATTATGGTCTTGACTTATGCATGAGCCCAAGTCAAGTACTACCTGGACCAAAAACACGACTCTTTAACATGCGTCAAAACTTCGTAAAAAACAAAGACGTGATGTAATTGAAGTACCGCCAATCAATATGTATGGTCTGTGTTTGAGCGGCGTGCTCTTCACAGACTTCTGAGAATAAACGATGGGTACATTTGGTTTATTAGCTGACCGGACGATAGGAAATAGAAGAGGGCACCCAGTTCTCCTGAACCCACTCAATTTTGATTGAGAGTTAAGGCGTATTTGTGGAATCAGTGAACTTCGATTGCGTAAAACATTTCAATTTCGTTTTGTCTTCGCTTCGACGCAATCTATAAGTGCACGTTTGTGTATCCGTCCTATAAAAACACGGGGAAGAAGAATATACTAAGCATTAGTCTCGCCCGCGGGACGGCCAGTATGCCAAAGCAAATCGTAACTTAGGGACTACGGGCTTCTAATGTAAGTGATACATGAATGAAGAAGGGATGTTAATCTTCAATCCATGATAACATTATTACACCATCTGGCATCGAGCGCTTTATTTATATTTTAATAATATTATTATAGTTGTTGCTGTATCAGCTGTTGAAATATCCTCTACAAGCATTCTTCCGAGAACTGCCACATCACTCCTATGTACATGTATTCGACTCACTGCACGATAAAAGCACACGTAGTGGCTATAATAGTAAAGAACCTTTTCGTAGTTTTCATAAAATGCTTGGGTTGCAGCACTTGCAATGCCACAATACACTTGCTATTAATAAGCTCTTTTCTAATTATTATTTACCTATAACATAAGGAACAAGAAGTAATTATCTTCATTCTAATCAGGACCTCCAGAAGGCACAAGCTTCACGTTCCGTAAGTTTGAAGCAAACGGGAAGCCTCCAATTGTTTTTTTCAATCATTGTGCTTGAAATGACCACTACTGGAGGCGGCCACTTCTGGAGTCTTCACTCCGAGTGGCTCTCGCTCGCCAGGAAGCGCTTTCCTCCCGCTCGCAGGAGCGCGATTGGCTCACGAAAGGAAGGCGTTCCACAGGGTGGCGCTCGGGGGCCGACGTCGGCAGCCCGTCCAGCACTCGGGGATTACATCGCCTCCCCCTCCTCCCTCCTTCCGGAGCCGCTCGGCGCGAAAGCCGCTCGCGGCGCCGATGCTGCTTAAATATTTAAATGCTGCTCCCGGAGCAACCGGTGTCTCTCCCGCTAAGCCGACGGAGGGCTCGAACGGTTTCCGCCCTCCCGCGCTAAACGACTGCTCCGTTTGGGCCGCCGCGAGAGGATCGTCATTAGGCCAAGGAACGAAATGCAAAATGTTTGAGGTTCAAAAGAAGTAGTCGGCGAAGGTTCTAGGAGAAGAAAGCTTTAAAAAAAAAAATAACGTCACATTTCTAGTGAATATTAAAAAATAAATAAGTTAATCAAGTGTATGTAGAAAATCAGGTCAGTAATTTTAATTATTTAATATCATCAAAGTTAAAAAACGAATAAATATTTGGAAAAGAAAAACAACTTTCGTAAGAATAGATTGCGATTCAACGTATATAAACTCCTGTTAATAGTATTGGTTCAAAATCCGATACGCATACCTAGTATTGCTTTCTTAAAACACACGAATTATATACTCCAAAATATATTTATTGCAACATGTCGAAATTATTATGAAATATTCACACAGATTCGTGCGCATTTCTCCTTTACATTCCACTGCAGCGATCGGAGCGAAACTAGCAGCTGCAGCCGCCGAGCAGTGGACGGTAGTTACGGCGGGGTCCGCGGCGGAGCGCGCGCGGCGCGGCCGGGAGCGGAGGGCGGAAGGGGGCTGCGAGGATTGATCCGCGAGTCGAGAGGTCCAGCGAGCGCGCATCGCAGCATCCGCTCGCTCCCGCCCGCCCGCGGCCACCGCTCGGGGCCTCCTCCGCGCCGAGACCTCTCCGCTCCCCGGGCTCCTGAGCCGGCGCCACCCGACGCGACGCGCGGCGCCTCCGGGCACGGCTGACAACGCAGGCGGCGGGCAGCGCCGGGCGGCCACGACGACGAGAGCATGCGCCGAGCCCAGGGGGGCGACCACGAGCCGGCCACCCGCCATGGCCAACCACGGGCACCCGCGCCGCGCTGGCGCGGGCCCGCGGCGCCCCCGCGTGAGTAACCTCCGCCCGCGCCCGCACGCGCACGGCGGCACGCACCCGCGCGCGCCGCTTCTCCGCCCTCCGACGCGGGCCTCTAACGCAATGGCGCCGCGACGCACCTCCGCTCCGGCCGCCGCCCCGCTTCCCACCTGCCGCCCCCGCGTCCGCTCCTGTGACAACCCGCGCCTTCTTCCTTTCTAAATCACGTATCCACCCTCGCCACGCACCGGCCGGCGCTCTACGTCGATTCTACCCCCTCGGGATCTACTACCGTTCGCTCACGCAAACCCCCCCCAAAATTCGCAACGCGGCCTGGGAATTCGCAATGCCGCTCCCCTTTAACGCATTAGAATCGATGCGCGAGGAAGACGCGCGGCGTGCCCGGTCGGCGGCGAGAGACGGGCTTCGCCAGACGCCGCGCGGAAAGAGAGGGACGGGGCGGCGAGCGGCTTCGATAGGCGTCACGCGGCCCGCGCGGCCGTCCGCTCGCCGATCCATACGCGCCGCGCAGCCGCCGCCAGCGCCGGCGCTGCGGGAGCATGCTCGCGCGGGCGCCGGGCGCCGCTTTGGAACGCCGCGAGGCGGTCCGCGCGCGGGCAGTAGGGCGGGGGCGAAGGGTCGTAGGGTCCAAAGACGCCGCCATGGCGCGTTCGGCCCGCTTCTACCGTGCCGCCGCTGCGCGCCGCCTTCAACGTGGCGTGGAGACGATCAAGTCCACCACCCGACGACAGCCCGTGCCTGGACGCGCTGCGCGCCGCCACGGGCCGCGGCCCGTGGAGCGGCGACGGCCGCGCGAGCCGGGAGACGTGCGCTTTGCGGCAGTTCGGCGCCGACGGCCGGCCGCGGGCGACGCCACCGAGCTCGCCTCCATCCCCGGCGCCGGAACGGGGGCGGCCTAACGCGGCCGAGGGCGCGGCGGGGCGGGCGGCGCGGGCGGCGTGGGGGACGCCCTGGGGCCCGCCGGCGCACGACAGCTCAGGCTACCAGCAGCGCTGGGCCGGCCGGCAGCCATTGGCCAGCGTCGACCGGGACGCCGGCGGCTGCGGGGAGTTCGGAGAGGGCGGAGGCCGGAGCACAAGATCAACGAGTGGCAGGCCGCATGGAACTCACAACGCCATCCAGGTGAAGCGCCTTGCGCCTGCCCCACCTCGCGGCCCCGCCCCTTCCTCTCCACCCGCAGGCCGGTTCAAAATCAAGCCTTCGGAGCAGTGAATAGCAGCTGGACGCGATGTCCAGTGAAACCTGGGCTGCCCACATGCCACATCCCGCCAATGAAGAGCATTGACGCGCCCGTGCTAACGAAACATTCGATTCACGTGGCCAGATACCGTCAGTTCCGCTTTAAAAGGACTTAGACTTAGGAAACTGCAAAGAGGCGCGTTTGCCGCGACCTTAGTGTTTCTGTTTTCTTGCGCATTATCGTACGATTGGTCTCTAAAGTGCCACAGGCTGTACCTTTTTGCATATATGAGCATGGGGTACCAAATCTCTGCCTTTTAATATATACACTGCATTCTGTTGTAAGGCACTGATTCAAAAGCATCTTTCTATTTATATTGGTAATATGAAATTTTTATGATAACGAACCGTAATTTTAAATTTAATTTTGCAAAAATGGCATCATCAAAGGTAAAAAACCCTCTCATCTCGAAGGTCTAAACCCATTTTCGTCCCATTTCCTTCAAGTTCCCTCCCATTACCCTGCTTTACATTTTACCATTACTCGAATATAATACACATCTCATTATTCATTGAAACAAACCTATATACAGTTTAAACAAGCCATTAAAGAACATTTGAACATGATTATTTTCTTTCATGATTTATTTCCATTTTGTCCCTCTTTCGTTCTTCCTTCTCCCTTCCTTTCATTTTCTCATTCTTCGTAATTCCTTCCTATTTCCTTGTCACAAATTCTTTGTTTTCTTACCACCTAATTCTTACATTTTTCAGCTCTTAGTTTCGCTTTATACTACTATTTCTTTATGGTCCAAATACTACATTTTCTTCACAAAATTCTGCCGATTCTTTTAATAAAATATTACGTTTCGCCCAAGAAACTTGAAGTAAATCTAGCACAAACGTTCAATCAATGAGAAAGATGTTAAGGAAGCTGAAGGTAAAATATGACAAAACAGAGTATCATTAAGACGATTTAGCAAAAAACGAATGGTCTCTGGAAATACTTTGTAAACAGTACTACGAACTTGTAAATAGTTTGAAATGCAATTAAGAACAAAATCTATAAACCTTGTCTTACAGATTACTGTCTGCAGTCTTGATGTGATTAAGAATCTTGTGGGGGTGTGATCAATTCCCTTTTGGAGTGTTTTTCAACATGATTGATACGAAACATTACCCTAGTGCTGAATTTACGCTGCATTACAAACTTTTAAAAAGAAATAACTGTTTTAAAGTCAGAGATAATTAAAAAAGTTTCATAATTAAGTAAATCTGAAGTTATTTCATGGGAATTATTGTCATTGATACCATACGTGTCTATGCTTTTTTCCGGATAACAAAATGGAAGAACATTTACCCTTTCGGCATTATACACGGAGAATATACAAAAAGTGGGTCGCCATCCATTCTAGCTTGGTGATTTAAAGTTCTTTTTATAACAGTATCGATTTTAAGTTGGAGACAATGAGTTTTCTATTTTACTCATTTCTAATCTCAATTTGTACGAACATTTACATTATGATGTAGTGGCAATACTTAGTAATTTTCAATCAAAGTATATATTTCTCAATAAAACTAATGCATTCAAAACGTAAAAATGTATCGAATATGGTGAGTGCTACTTTAATAAATATCAAATTATGAAACCTTTTTGACAATAAATACAATATTAAATACAGTTTTATCCCCAGCATTTCTAAAGAAACAAGAAATTTAAATTACGATTTATTTTCATAAAATTAATGTTACGACACTAGAATGTCCAGAAAGATCTATCTTCAAAGGTTTTCTTGACGGAGTTTATACATTACGAAACACAATTTGGCCCCTTTAGGAATTCAAGAGTCGGGTTTAAGGATCTATGATTCACTATTGTCTAGTTATGCACGAAGGCAAAGTGTGTGTGAGGAGTGCATGTGCTCTGTTTATTTCCTTATGTCATAAAATAGGAGTAATTTGCTCTTTACCAGTACACACGTACGAGGTTTTGTATCGATAGTGCCTTATAAATCGAAGAAAACAATTTATACTTAGCGTGCTATATTTAGAAGGGGCAGAGAAAGAATAATTATTGATAAAACACACTAAACCTATGGAACCTATTCCACGAAAGATTTTGAGACACTGTTTTAAAGAATGTTAATTATTTGAATACATTTTTGGATTAAATTTGTAAATATACAATAAAACAATGATATCTTTAAAGAATATTTCCATTACCCCCTGCACTTAACTTCTGTATCTTTGTATCCAATTTAGTATTAACATTAACCATTCTAGTGACCTCAAAGAGCATTGAAAATGTACTGTTATGCCAAGTTACTTGTGCATTATTTTACAACATATTATCGGATGACAGATAACAATTAAAAATCTATTCACAAGTTCAAATTCCAATTAAAACTTTTTTTGCCGCAACACTGTTTCTAGAGACCTTGCCGTGTATCCAAATCAAACACATTTATTGAAGTCGTAGGCTTAAAAATATTTATTGTAATAATGATATTGATAATACTGTGTTACATTTTTTAAATTCTTAAAGATTGAACATGCCTTTACAGAGTGTTGTACTTCAGCTTCAGGGTCAATAACTTCCATCACGATAGACGTTATTCAGCTTCTATTTATCCATTAGAACAAATGTTTCTTTCCTTGCCTTGCTTCTGGACAATAAAGATAGCTGCATTATTTGTGTACGTTTTCTGTTTAGCCACAAGGAGAGAATAGGTGTTTTTAGTTATTTCTTCAGCAGTATTATCAATCAAAATACGTAGCACGTTTGCCGATGTTAAAAGTTTATTTTACACGAAAACAATGCACAACACCAAAAAAATGTTATGGAAATGAGAGAAGCTAATTTTGACGAATTCGAGGTTACTGAATTCCGAAATGACATATACCTTTCTAATTATTTTATTTCTAGTTAAGTTACAGACTGATATCTCATTATGCAATGTTCCCCTAAATACTGGGCTTTCACATCCATAAAGTTGGCAGCATTATCTCAGCACAGTGACATCACACGGTCAATCATCAGCTATTCTCTGTGTGGGTTCATCACATGTCCAGTAGTGGTGTTCACTGGATGGAATTTTTATTCTTTCATTCTTGACATATTACCGTGGATTACAGTAGCTGCATTTCTGATGTGTAATGAAGCACTTCTGTGAGAAATAAATTGTTATAATTCCATCTGACTAGAAGCACTTTCACGAGAAAAAGATTGTTGAATAAATTCATCTGACATTCTGTTCTTACATGCACGTAGAAATATACTCCGGAAGTGCTTAAATAATCGTAGGGTGAAGTGACTTTTGCCTTACGGAAATATTCAATAACAATATTTAAAAAACGGCCTTTTTTTCAACATGCCGGCTATAAAGAGGGGATGACGACAGAATGTGGGCACCTCATTTGTCCTGCACTCTGGTCAAAACTCAATGGGATAGTAGGCAGATTGCAGTGTCTACGAATTTATAAATGTTTTCGTCAATTAAGAAAGTATATCTCTAGAGAAAACCAACAATGTGTACCCTAAAACGCTAACAGAAATTTGGCCTGAGCATCATGACGTAGAACTTTCTGTTCCTGATTTTTAAGAATCTCTCAATCACAAGATGACGTAAGGAGAGCTGAATGCCTTAGCTAGGGACCTAACGTCCTCATTCGCCAGAGGGTTAACCAGATTTTGTAAAGTGAAGTCTACGAACACACAAGTTTACACGACATCGCAGACAACGACGATGATTTCTTGAAGTATTTTAAGTTTTACACTCAAAATATTGTCCGCGTAACGAAGGGCATCAGAAATACTTATAATCCATTGGAAATATACAACGAAGAATAATTCAGAAGGTAGTTTAGTTTTCGTAAAATCACTGTTGTAAATAATCTTGTTTCTCTCATTGACGAAAGAAGAAATGAAACAAAATGAGGCTTACCAACCCCTTCTCTAATGAAGATGCTAATAATATAATTGAGATATTATTAATAAAAATAATAGCATTAAGACTTTACGCAACTTCATCCTTTCAGATTCGTTCTATAAGATTGCAAAAGATATGAAATATTCTGTGAAATTTTATGAAAGAAATGAAATTTCTTTATATATTCAAGATAATTTTATTGTAGACCTGATAAATGTATATAAATTAAATTTCATCTTATTCTAGATTGGGCAGATTTCTATAAAGATAGTCAAGCTACACTGTGCCGAATAATTTCTGAAATTTCAGAACGTTGGTACGTAGCATCAAGAATTTTGTACAGTTTCATCAGATAGAGAGATTTCATCAAATAGGACGTTTAAAAATGCAACATTTTTTCGGTATCAGGGGACCCCAAAACGTGTATTTCCGTCGAAATATATTTCCCGCAGCATTACATAACTTTCTCTGTATTACTCCGTATGTACGTACGTATAAGAGAAAGTAAAAACATTTGAAGTAGTTACACTATCATTTTCGACAGTTTGCTTTTCGCTTCTCTTGATAGTCACAGTTAGAAAAGCTCTTTACTATTGCGAAAGTTGGTAAAGTTGTCCAAGCGAAAATGCAGAATCAAACAAGTACAACCCTACTCATTGCAATGTTTGAAATTAAAATTGCAGTACAATGTAGTATCGAGAAGCGCCATATCAGTAAAAATATAATAGAATGCCTGAGAAGATCTCATTCTTCCATGCCTTTGGTCTCAATATTCCAGCTTTTAAAGCCTGTACCACTCTCAGAAGGCTCGTCATCTCACCTAATGAGATACGAGATCCATTTAATTTCCAGGACGTATTTCCTACGTTCACTATAGCCGATGTTCAGGTTCACTATAACCGAACCTTCTTATGCTTATTTGTAATGTAAGTGAAAAGGGACCAGTGACTTAAGTTCACTATAACCGAGGGTTCACTAGGTCCGAGATCACTGTAACCTGAGACGACTGTAACT